GCACACCCCTACTACCAGGGTACGTGTAACCCCGTTACATAGCTACTACCACTGAGAGTTCAACATGAGGATGACCCTGGCGCGTAAGGGTCTCCTGAAGCAAATCAAGGCCGTCAAGTAAGAGAGTGACGTCACAGAGGCCTGGCTGGTAAATGATGCCAAGGCGCTCGGCATCATCGCTCAAGGCGTCAGCACCAGACCAACATTCGGTCGGCTACGCGCGCCAGGGAAGCATGGGGAACCCTTCGCGATTTCTACAATCGCTCGACTCTTCACAACCGGGTGGTAATGACTCGTCGACTGCACGAGTTCAAGATGGAAAGTGGGGCAAGCATGGCAGAGCGTCTGGACGTTTTTGATGAGCTGATAGTGAGACTCCAGACTACTGGAGAGCCACTTGTTAAGTCACGTCAACTGGTGGTTCTTCTCGCAGTCTGCCGTCAGAGTATGACTTAATCTCGTCGATTGTGGAGAATGCGAAGGGCATAACGTTTATTGAAGTCAAGGGGAGGCTGCTAAAGAAATCGGAGAAAGCGTATCGCGTAAATGGAGACGCTAGAAGATTCAAAGGTGGACGAGAAAATGGACGAAACGGTGGTCCTCCACGCAATAACTGTGGATTCGAGGGCAAGTGTTTTAACTGTATTCAGTTTGAGCACAGGAAGCGGAAATGCCCGGTCAGTAAGAAGTCCGGAAGCGACGACACAATGTTTGCAGTTGGTGAAGGAAAGTCATCAGGATGGCTGATTGACAGTGGGGCAACTTCCCACATGACCCCACACAGAAAGGACTTGTTTGATTACAACGGCCTTGAAGCTAGCATTAGAGACACGATATGCAGATGGGAAGAAGTTGCTCGTTAAAGGAGCTGGCATGGTGAAACTGACTAGATTGGACGAAAAGAGCATTCGCATGGTGGAAGTTCTGCACGTTCCTGGACTCGACAGAAGATTACTATCTGTGGCAAACTTCCTGAGCGCGGTATGAGTGTGGAGTTTTCGCGGTCGTCTTGCGTCATCTGGAACAAGAACCAAGCGATTGCGTCAGGTACAAGAGTGGAAAAGTCGTATTTGCTTGACTGTGGGCAAGGAAAGCATGTCTCGCTGAATATTCTGGGGCTGACAATCAGTGGGATCTTTGGCATGCTCGCATGGGACACCCCAGCCAGGACGCGCTGGTCAAGACACAACGCTCAACAAAAGGAATATCAGCTATGAAGCAAATGAGGAAATATTGTGTGCTGGGTGTTTAAAGGGCAAACAAACAGTCACGGCATTTCCATATCGCTCGATGACATAAACGGCACGTATACTTGAACGCGTACACACAGATGTCATGGGGTCTATGAGGATTTCCTCGAAGGGTGGTGCCAAGTACATTCTTTCGTTTGTGGATGATTTTTCAAGATATGTGGCGATTTCTATAATCAAGAGCAGGAGTTAAGTGGCTGGCAAGTTCAAAGATTTTCTGACGCTTTATGAGAACCAATGCCAAGGGGTGCGCGATTAAGGTGTTTACAATCTAACGACGGAACCAAATTTGTGAACAAGACAATGGCTGGAATATGTCAACAGAACGGCATCGTACACCAGCGTTCAGTTCCATACAGACCTCAGCAGAACGGATTGGCAGAGCGGATGAACAGGACTATCACGGGAGAAGGCCCACAGCATGTTGCACTACAAGAGCGTCTCGACGGAATGGTGGGTGGAAGCGGTCTGCACACCGGTTTATATAACTGACGGCTCCAGCAATACGGCTCATCCAAACATCACACCCTACGAGTTGGCTTTCAAGATGAAGCCTCAAATGGATTACTTGCGCGTGTTTGGCTCGCACGGCTACGCTCACATTGACGATGTGAAACGGACCAAACTGGAACCCAAGAGCTTTAAGTGTATGTTTCTCGGCTACGCAGTGAATGTCACGGGAAATCGCGTGTTCGACTTGGAGAATGCCAAGATCAAAGTGATTTGCTCTGTAAAGTTGGATGAGCGTGAGGTGGGCGGCATTGACGACACGCAAGAGGTCATGCCGGTACGAATCACTTAAGTAATGAGGGGCAAAGCCCTTCTCGTCTTCTGTACCGGATGCATCTCCAGATTCGCGGAAAGCACATACATATCCCTCAGCAACCGAGCGCCCTACACAACGGCCGCCCCGGGCG